GACCTATCCGATGGGGGTGACCTATCCACGAGTATATACCGTAACTCTTCACAATCTGACAGAATATCAGACTTCAGCTCATTGTAGTTGTTGAGCTTTCAATTCTCATATCAAATGGACAGGAGACACCGATTATTATTATTATTATTATTATTATTATTATTATCATTTTTATTTTCTTTGATTTCTGGCGTTTACACATTTCTTTTCGGGTCCTGCCCAGGGACCTAAGGTTAGAAATGGCGTCATGACACTTTCACGGACAAAAAAAAAAAAAAAAAAAAAAAAAAAAGATTACATAGATAAAGCCCTTCGTAAAGGTGTGGGCTGTACTTGTCAGAACAATTTTCTGTATCTCCTTGAGGCATGGACTTCCAGGTATCCCTTCAATTAGTCTACTGGAATCTTTTCCAACCAGTCCTAGGGCTCCAACTACAACAGGGATTGTTGATGTTCCCATATGCCACATTTTCGCGATATTATTATTATTATTATTATTATTGTTATTATTATTTCCTTGGTTTTCTGCTGTATACACATTTCCTTCCGGCTTCCAACCTAAGGTCAGAAATGGCTTCATGACATCTTCCACTGATTATTTTTTTGTAAATAAAAACAAGATCACGCACATTTTACATAGATAAAGCTCTTCGTAATGTGTGACCTGTATATGTGAGTACAATGTTTTGTATTTCTTTAAGGCATAGGCTACCAAGAATCCCTTCAATGAGTCTATAGGAACGTTTTCCAATCAACCCGAAGGCTCCAATTACAACTGGAATTGTTGATATCCTCATGTACTCACAAATAAAGTTCACATATCACGAAGAGCTTTATCTATGTAAAATGCCTGTGATCCTGTTTTTATTTACAAATGATCGGTTCGGTATTATAGACCACAACGCCCCAGTGATAAGCGGGATATTAGTGACCTGAACGTTTTCTATTTTAGCAACTTCAGTCTGGATGTCAATGTATTTTTTAAGCTTCTAAAGAGATGGGTTACTAGGTTTTATTCCGATTTTTTTAAATGTCTGTCTTTAGGATCGGTAATATAGACCACAACTCCCCAATGATAACAGGGACAATTATTATTATTATTATTATTATTATTATTATTATTATTATTATTATTATTATTATCTTCTTTGATTTCTGGCGTTTACACATTTCTTTCCGGGTCCCGCTCAGGAACCTAAGGTTAGAAATGGCATCATGACACTTTCCACTGACAAAAAAAAAAAAAAAAAAATTACATAGATAGCATAGATAAAGCCCTTTGTAAAGTGTGGGCTGTACTTGTTAGAACAATTTTTTGTATCTCCTTGAGACATGGACTTCCAGGAATCCCTTCAATTAGTCTACTGCAATCTTTTCCAACCAGTCCTAGGGCTCCAATTATTATTATTATTATTATTATTATTACGATGTTTCAAATAGGATCAGAAATTGACTTATTATTCAAGTAAGAGCATTTTAACGGCCATGCCTGAACCGAATTGATCTAGCAAGACAAGCTTGTTAACAATTACATCACGTTGAAGTGCTCCAGAAACTTTAAATATATAACGCAGAAGTCAAATAAAAAAATAGTTTCAATAAACATTTTAATCAAAATAATCGAAAAAAAAAAAAACCCAGCCAGGTTTAAGAGGCGCAGGGTAATGGCAAACGATGCTTGTGTTTTTGACTATTATTATCAACTACATTTCTATCTTGCTGGATGCCCCATACATTAAATACCCCAATAAGGGGTGAAATATCGTCTTTCTATAACGATTTGCTGTTTTTGTTGCGTTGGGTAACAAAGAAATACACCCACAAAAAAATCAGATTGTTATAATATAAATTTGAATTGCTGAGTAAAATGTAAAATTATTTGTACAATGAAGAAGCCGGAAGAGTGTTCGGCCGGTGAGAGAAGAAACTATTGGAACAAAATTTCGGTTATATCTTGCTATTTCAGCTAGTAAAATGATGGGACCTTGTTGTCATTTTAAATTCGCAAAGAGGAAAGCTATTTAGAACATCTGCTAAAATTTCCACAAGAAACACAGAGAAGCTACGTTACGGCTGTTGGAAAATTACTGATCATTAAAACTGTAATTTCTTTCTTTGCTAACTCTATTTTAACACACACACACACACACATATATATATTTTTTATATATATATATATATATATATATATATATATATATATATATATATATATATATATAAAGGGAGATGTTATGGTTGTTCCCACGAGGGATTACTACTACATACAAAAGACAATAGTTAAATATTGGAAAACATAAGGAAAAATTAATTCCTTTAAATAATATGTGGAAATAACAACCTTTCGCCTGATGAAGGTCGCAAGACTCTAAACGTATGTAGCAAAAAATATGGAAAATAAAGTATTATATATATTTAAAAATCCACATTATAACCAAAAAAGTTTGCGGCTTCTCTATATATATTTATATATAATATATATATATATATATATATATATATATATATATATACAGAATATCAGATTTTAACTCATTGTATTGCCGAGCTTCTTACTTTCAATTCTCATATCAAACGGACAGGAAACACCGATTATTATTATTATTATTATTATTATTATTATTATTATTATTATTTTATTTCCTTTGGTTTCTGGTGTATACTCATTTCTTTCATGGTCCCGACTAGAGACCTAAGATCAGAAATGGCATCATGACATTTTCTGCTGAGCAGTTTTGAAAAAAAAAATTGCACATATTTTATATAGATAAAGCCCTTCGTAATGTGTGGGTTGTACTTCTGGGTACAATTTTTTGTATTTCTGTAAGGCATCGTCTACCAGGGATTCCTTCAATGAGTATATTGGATACTTTTTCCGATTAATCCGAGGGCTCCAACTACAACTGGAATTGTTAATGTCCTCATGCGCCACATTTTTGAGATTTCTATTTCAAGGTCCTTGTATTTTGATAGGTTTTTGAAGATCTTTAAAGATATATTGCAGTCTGCAGAGACGGCCATGTCAATATGGAGGCACATTTTGTCTTTGCGATCTCTAATCACAATGTCTGGGTTATTAGCTTTGATTGTGCTGTCTGTATGTATTTTAAAGTCCCATAAAATTGTTACAGGTCCTACCTCTGTAACCGGGTCTGCGAGGCCTTCATATCAATTTCTTGCAGTTTCCTTCCCGTAAAAGTTGCATATTTTTCAGTGCAGATATTGACCCAGTCTGTCATGCCGTATTTTATATTCAGTGGGTGCTAATACCGCGCAACCTGATACAAGATGGTCAATTGTTTCTGGATACTTATCACCGAATTTGCATTTTGGACTAACACAATTTTTCAGTATGTGTGCTTGGTAATTTCTAGTTAGCAAGCATTGGTCCTGTGCAGCAAGAATAAAACCTTCAGTTTCAGTTTTTAACTCTGCACTAAGTACCCACTGATGGGTACGGGGTTAGTCTACATCAGCTTGTTTGGTGCGGGCAGAATATTCACCGTAAAGCTGTTTATCTTGCCGTCGTTTCTGTATCTGGTTGATTGAATTTGCCTTTGCTTTCTTTTGAAGTATTTTGCAGCTTTAGTGGGTGTATTATGCTTTACTTGTATTTCTTCACCCATTTGAAACTCCATTTTGAACTTGTTGGCTTCATTTATTATTATTATTATTTTTATTTTCTTTGATTTCTGGCGTTTACACATTTCTTTCCGGGTCCCGCCCAGGGACCTAAGGTTAGAGATGGCGTCATGACACTTTCCACTGAAAAAAAAAAAAATTAAATTACATGGATAAAGCCCTTCGTAAGGTGTGGGCTGTACTTGTTAGAACAATTTTTTGTATCTCTTTGAGGCATGGACTTCCAGGAATCCCTTCAATTAGTCTACTGCAATCTTTTCCAACCAGTCCTAGGGCTCCAACTACAACAGGGATTGTTGATGTTCCCATATGCCACATTTTCGAGATTTCTATTTCAAGGTATTTTGTTATTATTATTATTTTTATTATTATTATTATTATTATTATTATTATTATTTCCTTGGTTTTCTGTTGTATACACATTTCTTTCCGGCTCCCAACCTAATGTCAGAAATGGCTTGGCTTCATGACATCTTCCACGGATTATTTTTTGTAAATAAAAGGCAACCCCCAAAAAAAAAACAAACTAAGATCACACATTTATATATATATATATATATATATATATATATATATATATATATATATATATATGTGTGTGTGTGTGTGTGTGTGAATATATAGAAAAATAGGAAAGAACCGTTAACTTAATAATCCAAAAGTTCTTTAGTACTTTTGTTTTTTTATTTAAAAAAAAAACAGTGCTCAATATACAAGTAGAGCCTAGTTATTTATTAATTTAATTTCTATAATTGAATTGAAGATTTTAGCTTCTATTTTTGAAACATGAGAACTCTTATGTAGCGATGGAATCATATTTTTAAAAAAAATAATTATGATATATATATATATATATATATATATCGAGATGTGGCAGCAATATTCAGTGCACGACCGAATAATAGAATTATAAACGTGCAAGATGCATTCTGGCGAGAAAAATTGTCTGGCACTACAAAGTGAACCAATTTTTCTAGCATCAGATGTAGCAATTGATTCAATATAATAATTCCACTTCAGGTCAGTGGAAAACGTGTTATCGAGATTGTAATTTCCAATAAATGTTTCAAATAAATGTATTTCCACATGAAGTTCCATTTTCAGTCTGACGGCGTTTTTTTCATTTGCTGCGGACATAAAATAAGCTGGGATTAATACAACCTATACCTATACATATGTCGTTTAAAATGACTCCATCTGAACCTAGAATAGCAGCCCGGTCATCACTCTCACTCGCTCGCCCCTGCCTTGAATTTCCATGGCTGTGCCCCACCCTCTGCTTTGCTATTAGCAGTGACGTATATATATATATATATATATATATATACGGGTATGAAAGGGATGCCTTATTTAGTAAACTACTGGGTAGTAGCTTGCAGGGACGTATTGTGCGTAATGGGAGATACATTTGTAAATGAAACGACGGGAGGAGGAATAAAAAAAAATAGGGATGTTGTGGAAGAAAAATGACGAAATGACGAAAGGAACTTTTCTTTATCAAGACGACTTTCTATTTATGTAGCAAATATTGATTTATTAAATACAATGTGTTAAATAAAAAAAAAGTTAATGAGAATAAGTATAAAAAGAGAAAATAAAAAACAACAACAAAAAAGAAAAAAAAAAAAAAAAACAATAAAAAACAAACAAGCAGCTGGTTCAAATGCATTGATGATTCATTCAAGGCCGTAGCAGGAATCCTAAAGTTATGAGTCCCTTACCAAGGTGAGGTTTGCTCCGCCTCATTTTTCCTTGAAGAAAGAAAGGACGAGATAAAAGAAAGAAATGTAGAAATAGAAAGAGAAAAAGAAGGAAAAAAAGGCAGAGCTGGAAGAAGTAAGAAAAAAGAAAAATAAGATAGAAAGAAAGAGGAAAAAAGAAAAATGGAGAAAAATAAAAAGGATGAAGGAAGGAAAGTAATAAAAGACAAAAAGAGAGATAGAGAAAAGAGGGAAAGAAAGAAAGAATAAAGAAAGGAAGGAAATCATGTAATTTGAAACATAAAGAACGGAAATATGAATAGATAAAAACCAAAAAAAAAAACCAAAAAAGAAAAATGAATGAACGAAAAAGTAAAGATAAATATAAGGAAAGTCTGAAAATGATTAAAATGAAAAAAAAAAAAAAAAAGAATGAATGAATTTGTGAAAAACTAAAGAGAGAAGTAAGAAAAATATGAAAATGAGAAAAATGAAGAAAAAAGGAAAAAGAAAGAATCTATGAAAGCGAGAAAAATGAAAGGTATGACAAAGAAAGAAAGAAAGAAAGAAAGAAAGAAAGAAAGAAAGAATGAAATTATTAATAACACATAAGCTTCATCTAGCAGAAAGCCAAACGGGAACAAGTGTAGGTATAAAGATTATACCTCGTTAAACTTTAAATTGGAAATATCCTGCAACCTTAAAAATCAGCATTTAATATCTCGGCTTTTATTTGTGTTGGTTTACTAACTGCTGGCATCAGAAAGAAATACACGACTATTTCAGTCCTTAGGCCTTAAATACTTAGTGACACCAAAGCCGCCATAAATCTATGATAACCAATGATAACTAACTACACATTCAAATTGGTCGGCGAGATGAGATTGTAAACACGGAGGGGCCCGAATCAATAAGATTATCCTTTTGAAATGAAAAGATGCGATTTGGTCTATAATTTTACAGAATATATAAAATTGAAGTTTTTTTATGCACTCATATTATATATATATATATATATATATATATATATATATATATATATATATATTAACTGTTAGAACTGTGTAGCGAAAAAACTATATTTTAAATCAGTTAATTTATGAAATTAATGCTCTGTAAATTTACATTGAGCACTATTTTATAAAAATAAAAATATCTATAAGAACACCGGATTATATATCTTACTGTTCTTTCTTTTTATTTATATATACATATAATTGTATAAGAAACCACTATAAAATTTTTCTGTCGAAAAAGCAACCACTTTTATAAAACTTTTCTATTTGCAAACAAATTATTTTCTAAAACCTTTCTGCCTAGAATGTAACCATTTTTATAAAACCTTCTCTATATAGGAAGCAACTATTTTTTATAAAACTTTTCTGCTTGAAAACAAACAATTTTAGAAAACCTTTCTGTCTAGAAAACAACCATTATAAAACGTTTTCTGTCCAGAAAGCAGCCATTTTTATAAAACATTTTCTGTCCAGAAAGCAACTATTTTTATGAAACATTTTCTGTTCAGAAAGCAACCATCTTTCATACTCACAATTGACGATATTTAAAGAAGCTCCTTTTTTTTTTTTGTAAATTTTTCGTTTCATTTTGTTAATGACTATTTTCACCGATCACAAAATTATATTTGTGTTTTAATTTTTCCATTAAGACCACCGACATAAAATGGACGCCATTTTCATTGAGGTTGTTCATATACAGAAGAATAGGACGTTGCTTATTCAAGTGATATTTAATATTTGGAAGACTTCACACATATTGTGTTGATCAATGGTATGGATGAAAACAGTAACTATTAGTAAAACGGCATTGATTAACAGATTAATCAATAGTTTATTGATTTAGCTGGGATTACTGGATAAAAATTATATCTGATATTAATTACTCTTGAGTTTTCAACTCAGAAATTAATGTGGCACATAATTTTATAACAATTTTTAAGTTTGTGAATAGCTTCTTTATTTCTTTCCCTTTGGTTTTCTGTACAATCTTTATTTATTTCTTTTGTTTTTTTTCTGGATTCCTTATTCAATATTTTTTTTAGCTTTTATCATTCATTCTTTCGCTCGTTTGTTTTTCATATGGATTTCTTTCTTTCTTCATTCTGGATTCCTTATCAATTTTTCTTTCTTTCTTTCTTTTT